TCATATTGATTGTGTGACACAACAAAACACATTACAGATTTTCGTAGAAATCCCGTTGGTTTCTAGTCATGATAATATTCTTTTTCTAGAATAATTGAAAATTTCGAGGAATACAGCACTTTGGATCATCATAGAGCTACTCTTCCAGGTCCCTCATTCTCTGCTGCAACAGAGGAGAAGGTCAATGAAGTTGAATAGTATTTCAAGGCAAATCCCAACTCGTCCATTCGGAGAGCCGCTTAAGATTTAAAATTGACCAAATCAACGTTGCATCGCATCCTCCACGTTTTTTTGAAGCTTCATCCATATAAAATATTGATGTGTGAGCGTTTGACAGAGGAGGCGATTCTGAGACGAAAGGACTTTTGTGAACGAATGACACAAATGTTCGAAAGTGGCGAGCTGCATGAAACAGCAATTGTTTTTCCCGACGAGGCACAGTTTTGGCTAGACAACTACGTGAACAAAAATAATTTAAGATTTTGGGGATCTGAAAAACCTAATTTTTTGGTTACGAAATCTGCTCATCCACAGAAAGTCACTCTTTGGGCTGCTTTGTCCATGAAGGGTGTCTATCTACATTTTCCGAATCTACCGCTACCGGGAATGAGTACAAAAGAATGTTAGAAACAAAATTCTTCCCTCATGCGAGAAAAAGAGGGCTTCTCAATGGGTTTTATTTTATGCAGGATGGAGCAGCTCCCCACCGTTCTCACGAAGTTTTCGAAATTCTTAATAAAGTTTATCGCGGTCGAGTTCTTGGTTTGGGATATCCAAAATTTTGTGGAGAGGGAATACATTGGCCACTCTATTCACCAGATTTGAATCCGTGTGATTATTTCCTGTGGGGTTACATAAAAGATTCTTGTTACGCAAAGAAGCCAAAAACAATCGAAAAGTTGATAAACAACATTGAAAAGACTGTTCACGCTATTCCACAGGAAACATTACAACGTGTATTCCACGGTTTTAGGAAACATTTGGATTATTGGGCCAGTGTTGATGGCTCTGATTTCTNGAGGTTTCAAGGGTTGAAAAATCCCATTCAATATTAATCTAAAAATACTCCATGTCATAATTATGTGTTTTAAACGTGCTCCAAGATAAACGCAGAAAAAGAGGGGGTGGGTGGGGGAAAGAGACTTTCAGCTCACAGTTGTACTGAGAAACCTGACAATCGATTTTTTTTTTAATTCATATTTCGTCGTGGAAAATATGTGTTTTCCATATCCGGTATTAGAAAAAATCGTGCTCCGTTCTTTGCGTACCTATAACCTGAAAATCGACCCGATGTGCCTGAAATATCCATCACATGACCTGAATTGAATTAAAAAATCATGTGCTCTATGATTAGTGCACAAAAATAATTCGTGCTCGAGTCATAATCATAACGGAGGCATCAGGTACCGCTATGACTTTCAGCGCTTAGACAAGTGCCACTATTTTCTTTTTTCGTTCTCCAATTTGTCCTAAAAAATATTTGGATCTAAACCAGTTGCTAGCGAAACCACTTTGAGGAGGTTAGAATAAATTTCTTTTCATATTGATTGTGTGACACAACAAAACACATTACAGATTTTCGTAGAAATCCCGTTGGTTTCTAGTCATGATAATATTCTTTTTCTAGAATAATTGAAAATTTCGAGGAATACAGCACTTTGGATCATCATAGAGCTACTCTTCCAGGTCCCTCATTCTCTGCTGCAACAGAGGAGAAGGTCAATGAAGTTGAATAGTATTTCAAGGCAAATCCCAACTCGTCCATTCGGAGAGCCGCTTAAGATTTAAAATTGACCAAATCAACGTTGCATCGCATCCTCCACGTTTTTTTGAAGCTTCATCCATATAAAATATTGATGTGTGAGCGTTTGACAGAGGAGGCGATTCTGAGACGAAAGGACTTTTGTGAACGAATGACACAAATGTTCGAAAGTGGCGAGCTGCATGAAACAGCAATTGTTTTTCCCGACGAGGCACAGTTTTGGCTAGACAACTACGTGAACAAAAATAATTTAAGATTTTGGGGATCTGAAAAACCTAATTTTTTGGTTACGAAATCTGCTCATCCACAGAAAGTCACTCTTTGGGCTGCTTTGTCCATGAAGGGTGTCTATCTACATTTTCCGAATCTACCGCTACCGGGAATGAGTACAAAAGAATGTTAGAAACAAAATTCTTCCCTCATGCGAGAAAAAGAGGGCTTCTCAATGGGTTTTATTTTATGCAGGATGGAGCAGCTCCCCACCGTTCTCACGAAGTTTTCGAAATTCTTAATAAAGTTTATCGCGGTCGAGTTCTTGGTTTGGGATATCCAAAATTTTGTGGAGAGGGAATACATTGGCCACTCTATTCACCAGATTTGAATCCGTGTGATTATTTCCTGTGGGGTTACATAAAAGATTCTTGTTACGCAAAGAAGCCAAAAACAATCGAAAAGTTGATAAACAACATTGAAAAGACTGTTCACGCTATTCCACAGGAAACATTACAACGTGTATTCCACGGTTTTAGGAAACATTTGGATTATTGGGCCAGTGTTGATGGCTCTGATTTCTAAAACATTTACTATTAATCGCACCTGTCACGTACAATTTTTGTAAGCTACTATTTTTGTTGTATGAATTACATGTTTCAAGAATGAATATACGGTGACATAAAAATGACATCTGTCCTCTATCAGGAACTGTATTCCTTCTCTTTTTCCCTGTTTCCAGTAAAAAAAATAATCAAACAGTTTTCACACATTCCCATGGGACGCCCTGTATACTATTAACAAATAATGTCATCTTCTTAACAATTATTGCAGGGGCCCAATTCGTCCCTTCAATACAGCAACTTCAGTAATCTTCGATTTTTCGTTGTTCTCTCCTTCTCGTCACTTGCTCCACAATACTGACTAGGAAGTGGTGCCCTCTGGGCAACTCCCTGAGGCTCATCCGAACTTTCTGAAGGTCTGCTGGAGTCACTCATAGATCCTCGGTTCCACAATGTTCTCCGCATACGGTGGAGCGTAGCAACGCCAAATTCAATTCAAAATGAATACAACAAGAAATAAGCATGAACTCAAAAATCTCTCTGTTGAATCTCGCTATTAGTTGGTGACTTCTCGTCTGGCGATTTTGATCAACATAGCCCACACGAGGAACGGTCGATAAATGAGATTAAAATTTGTGGTGGATTTGTCGCGTCATAACGAATTTTCCATTATTAGAATTATGAGTGCCGATGTGTAAATATTAATGAACGTTTTCTGCTTGATCTAGGCGCTCATCAAATCGGAGACAAGAAATGATGCGATATGACGAGATAAGATGAATAAGACATGAAGAGACGAGTATGATTTGAATGGTGGATGAAGATAAATACGATATAAATGGTCAGAAATTGAGAACACGAGTAGTCGGCAAGGAGTATTAGAAATGACCATTGCGTGCTCCAGTTTCTCTTACCGACATCGTTAGTACGTATTCGCGCTACTGTGAGACGCGAGCGCATTTTCTCTAATGTATATGTATCACTTGTAGGCTGACCGTTGAAAGAAATGTTTCTCAAATAAAATTATTTATATATGATGACGTTTCATGTTATTTGTCCACATCTTCCTCAATAACATCCTTTCACTTTTTATATACTGCTATAACATTTATTGAGTTATTTAAAATTCAATTGAAATTATCGCCATTATTTTCGCATTTGTGAATAGATCAGTAGGGCCGGTTCTGTCCCAACAGTCTACCGGAAGCCTGACCACACAGCCTCCGCGAAGAGATGGCTGGGTGAAAGGGATAATTAATTCGCGGGCTCATTAATTAATCCATTGATTAATTAAACAATCAATTAATTAGTTTATTAATTAAACAATCAATTAATTAGTTTATTAGGGGCCTTAATTAGGAGATGGGGGTAACAATGAGGCGCCATAAATGGATCATAAAGCAATTTCGGGCCCGAGGTATACTTAGTGAACTTTTGATATATTCAATTAGGATATCGTCAACTGTGACTGTCACGTAGTGATGCTGTCGAGACATAACGAGAATTATTTTGAAAAGATCATCATGGTCTAAAAAAATATTGAGTTTAGGAATCGTCGTAATCTCGAAAGACATTAGATCGGTCCATCTCGTCACGAACTTGCAAGAATCCATCACGTCTGAGTTTCAGAATCTACTCTTTTTCAAATGTTTGTCTCGATATCTGTCTCGTCTCGTCTCGTGGACTTATGAAACCGAAAATCTCGACATCCAGGCAAGATAAATCCTCCCCAAATGGTGACGAGATGCACCGATCTAACGTCTTTCAATATTGCGACGATTGCAAAACTTTCGATGTTTTTCCAGACCGTGATGATCACTTCAAAATAATTTTCGACTAGTTTTGACGGCATCATTACTATCCCGGAATAAAAAAATAACTTTAGGTTAAAGTATGTATACATTTATGTAAAAATTGGTGTGCCTTTAGGGGATTTTATACCTTAGGGTATAACAAAATGCTTTTAAATCCCATTAAATGATGACACAACGGTTGAACGATTACGAATCGCGTCAAAAAATCAGGGGACTGCCATTTTTCCTCACAAGAGTTAAAATTCGCCAGCGTCATACCTCGTACGAGTCAAACGTGGCAATCATCATCACCCGCGAGGTGAAAAACTATTACAATGGTCAAACTCAATCTCAAACTCAATGGTCAAATTAGAAAGGCTAATCTCAAGACGGAAGCGGTGAGGGGGGCAATCTACAGGGCAAAACAACCAAAGGCGCATGGATCTAAAGATCATAAATAATGCGAAATAATCAGATGACTCACGGGTTTGACTCGTATGATCGCTTAAAGCTCCCATGAGCGTACGAAGAGGCTGCTACATAACCGATTTGACGGTAAAAAATGATGACACACAATTGCTGCTCGAAGTGCAAATGGAAGAAACATTTCAAATCTACACATAGATATACAAGATCGAGTTGAATAAAAATATCCAATAAAAATTGTCACACCTTTTTGTAGAGATCTCGGAGTTGATAGTAAAAAAGTCGCGTACTGAGACAGCCAAAGCGTAGGTATGGAGAAAGACTTGTCTGACTTGGGAGTAAAGATTGTGGAGTCATCTTCGGACGACCGAAACTTGCTACCCAAGCCTTTCGCTCCAAATGCCGCTCAAGTCGGATGAGTCCTTCACTTTCACCACCTACCCATACTGGAGGCTGCAGGCCCTCGGTGTCAAATCCTACGAATATATGAAGTGGGCGTATTCGATTAAATACTACATTGATTCCACTTTATCGACGATTATATGGAAGAAGTATAACAACTGTGCATTATAAGGATGATCATGAGAACAGTTTACGATGCTTACTGGTGAACAACAAATTTGCTTCTGTGTAATTTGTTCGCACAATGACATCGCATTTTTAAAAATGTTGAAAAATGAGAAATATTATAAATTTTACCATAAATTGACAGAATTTGACAAAGTTTGGTGGAAATTTTCTGAAATTTTTAGAGCGAAAATGTCCAGATATGAAATTGGTGAAATAATAATAAAATGGTGCATATGATGTCATATTTTGACAGATTCTATCCTAATGCATATGTCATAATTTGTCATAATTATGTTTTCTGACAAGCAATCATGCTCCAAATATTCTCGCAAAATATTGAAATACCCTGATAAACAAACCCAGAGTTCGCCTAGACTGAACTCTGAGTTAATGTTTAAATTTCCCAGGATTTCTCTCTTCTCTCTGTATTTTGCTCATGAGTTGACTGAGAGTTTATTCTGGGTTTGATCCATCACGGTACGATATCGTCTGTGCCTTAATTACATAGTAGTCCAGATGATGATATACTTAGATTAATGTATGCTCTATTGTAACGTGACATTTTCAAATGAGGGTTGAAAATGCCTATTACCTTCGCCCTCCTTCCTCTGAATCTAGTTAAACTCAAAACTCAGAATTTATGGACACCAGGTCATTTTTATCCGGAATTACTGTTATATCCAGAGTAAATTTCTAATTGAAATTAAAAGATTATTAATCAATCAAAACTCTTGGAATGCATAAAGGTGATTCCACTCGCCTTAAAATGGGAAACGGAGGACATTTGACAATTTCTTTCCGAAATCGTTCAAAGTCGAAATCGAAGAGTCAGCAAGATTCCTCAGCGATCGTTGCCTTTCAGCAACACCGAAAAATCAATGTAACGTCAACAAAAAGTGAATCGAACACATACGACGATTCCAGACAACCCATGCAAATAGCAATTAAGCTTTCCCCCACCACTAAAATTTATCGAAAACTAACGACCGAATCACTCCCAAAAATTACGGAGATAGTCAGTCGCTCTCCACACCTAAGAACTTTTGTACTAGCTTCAATCCGCGAAATTGATCCTTCAGTTTTAACCCCAGAAGATATTTCTTTTTGGTGACCTTACGGTAAAAGAGGTGATAAACTTGATAATTGATTGGGCAAACCGTAACCTTAAATCAAGAGTAGGATTTTTGTCGCGCATAAACTTTTGGAAACGAACTCGTCTAAACAAACTGAAAATTAAATTCAGTTTCAAGTGGAAGACGAAAACTTCAGAAATTCGAAGGGCTCCAGTAATTATAGTTATCGTAGCAGCCGCTAGATAAGCTGGTTCTGACAGCCGAATTTTCACAAAAGGAGTAATTTGAAGAATCCACATTACAACCAATTTGAACCGAATTCAGGAAATCATCAGGAAATTAATTAGTAAAATGGAACTCCACAAATTAGAGTAAAAGCAATCTTGCCCCTTTTTCACTCCAAACTTTCTTCTGAATTAATATCAAAATCTATGTATCTAAGCGTGACAAAAATTGTTAATAAATGAATAATTGGGATATTTCAACCAGTGACAAATATAAGTTTTGGCAATCAATTCAATCATAGTACATTAGAGTACAAGGACGCAAATTTCGTTTTCAACGAACTTTATTACCGAGTGCTCTATAATATTTTATGGCAAGTCGTGCAGAAGTCGAATTTTGAGCAGGCTGCGCGAAGCGCAGCGTGCGATAAACTCGACTTATTGCACGGCGCGACATAAATAAATGAATACCCTTCAGGCAAAAGTAGTTTATTTAGCGTCGTCCTCAAATAAAAATAAACCTCAAAGTGAATACGAGTTGTAAACTCTTCATTTTGTTAGAATTCGAATTAGTTAATCACGGAAGTAAAATACAAAATTTAATTCATGCCCTTCGACGTTAGGCGACCTCTCCGGACATAACAATTACCAAACTGGAAAAATCGGCAAAACAATTCCAATTTATTCAAAATCATCCAAAACGTACTCAAAAAAGAGAGAAAACTAGATTTTCAGGGAAAGGTCGCGGTTCTCGGGTCGCTCAGTATGTTAGGTTATGGAGAGAGGGGTGGAGTTCGGATGGAAATGGTTTATTGGGCGATCAAAACTACAAAGAAAAGAAGTCGACATTGTCCTTACTTATTCCACTATTGAATCTTCAAAGTGAACATTTTATACAATTTTCATATAAGAAGAATAAAGGAAATGGAAATTTTACACAATCATGATAATAAAGCTAATCTTTAACAAAAGTCACGATAGTTTAGTTTCAGACTGATTCTAATTCCATCTCATTAGAATCGGCTCAATATTATTTCTTGAATAACCAAATTCCTCGGGTGTTGTGGAAAACACGAGTATAATATCAAAAGTTAGGAAAATACAAGTTTATCCTTAATACTCGAGAATTCTTGGAATCGCCAAGAGAGATAAGCGAATGCCCATGAGAGTGAGAGAGAGAGAAGAACATCAAAACCCAGCGTTATACGTATAGCGCATGTGCGAAACAGTATCTCACAAATTCATTAAGACTAAACTCGCGATTTCTCAAAAACGGTAGAGTGAAATTTCAAAAAAATAGAGCAAGGACACTCGGGATAGTCCAGAGAAAATTCTTTTATCAAAATCCTTTTAATTGGTGCGGAAACGCCCACCACGGCGAGGACCTCCCGAAAAACTCTGAATAGTATCGGAAAACGCAAAGGCGTAATTGCCATTCCCTTCAATTTAGCTAACATTTCGACCAAATAAAACCAGTTAATTGATTAATTATTTGACCGAATTGGGCCAAACAGATAAACATTCGGATAACTCCTGGGAGGTTTTTGGCACTCTTCGCGGATCGGTTTTCCAGGATATATGGGGCTAAAAGACAATTAGTCACGAATTCCTCTGAATAAATTTTATTATTTTTCGCCATAACTCTAAAGCAACCAGGCAATTCGCCGGAGACTTGTTTGGCTCGCCCCAAACGACCTTCCACCAAAAACCAAAGGTGGGTATTAATCCCCGAAAATCCAACTTAATTTTGAACCGCCGTTATTTCAACCTGGTCTAATCGATTACCCGCAAGATTTACAATAGAGTGAACCCCATAAAAATTATCGGATGACTCTAATATATTAGCCCTTCTTCGCGATACTTTTATGGGGCCTTAAAAACGTGTAAGGAAACAGATTTCGACAAAAATGATTTTAAAAAAATAATACACTCAAACCGAAAAATTTCAAAATAATAAAAATTCACCACGCCATAGCGAGAAATCCTAAACTCAATTATCGTAATGATAATTGCATACATTACCGCACCAAAGTCGGAAAACATAACTTGAACTAAATTTTGACCACTCGAAGGTGGAAAGTGGACCTCTCTCTCCCTATTCTTGTTATCAAGCCATGTTGGTGTTCATGACGAACATCCCCACATGTTCGTTACCCAATATATCATAATTGGTCCTATTGTAGACATTCAATTTTTCACCAAATTACCTCACTGGGATGTATATACACACTCATTAGCTTCGCTCGAATGCACGCTTGCCCTTAACATAGCTGATCTACTGGCTCACCTTAGATGACCAGTGGCTTCTAAGCCTTGACACCTGAGGCGCCACATGATGGACAGGTTCCCAGTGAACGTTTCCATCTAAACTGGGCCACATTGATATCTTGGATGATTGACACCTGTCACCTTGCGGCTCTGGAATCACTCTCATTTGTATATCGTCTGCTATAGTGTACATGTCCTTTTTGAAACGGTTTGCATATGGCTTGATTCATTTTTGCTCTGCGCTTTTTTAATCGCTCAAGACTATTGATTTGTTTACTCTGACCGGTATAAAATTATAAATCATCGTTTTGACTAACAACAGTGTTAATATATCTTGTCACGTTGAGATGAAATCACAATTATATTCTCGGAATTCTACTCTGTGCGGGTCTTGTAATCAAAATGATAATCAAAAACAATCATTAAAATAATAATCCGGATTTAGAATTTGAGTTTTTGCTCTGTTCGGTAAGTCAATCTAATTATTTAACTCAAAATTCTCGAATGTTAACGGTTCGGGCACTGCTAATTTGTTCCCGTCGAATTTCTGTTAATTTTCATTTGTAATAATATAAATATTTGAGCGGAATGTGATTTCCTCTCATGTTAGCTACCCCACATAATAATAAGAGGAATAATTGAGTTTTGAGGCTTTCGCGGCCAATATTATTATTCATTATGATGGCTTCAGTCTGCATCATCAGGGCTAGGTTGCTCAGATACTGAAGTTCCCCGTTGTAAGGAAGTCCTTATGCCCCCTGACCCCTCGAGGGAATAGGTAGAATCGTGGGGGGTATCGCAGCCAATCAAGATGTTTTTCATTGATCAGCTGTTCAATTGAAAAATCCGGAGGACGGTGTGCCAAATTTAATTGGTTTGATATCCTCGATCCCTATTGAGATTGTTCGGATGTTTTTGGATCTCGAGATCTTTGCGATGTTTTCTGGCGAAATATCTTTGTGAGCTGGCAAGCATTTCTGTCTTGTCATATTGGATAGAGTATCCAGTGTCCATCCAATATTCAGCCAGTGCAGATTGCGAGATATGACCATTTTTGCACACCGTTGATGTTCTTTGATCCATGTACTGATCCTCCTCCCGCTTTCACCAATGTACACTTTTCCACAAGAGCAAAGGGTTTTGTACACCCCTGGGAGACTAAGTGGTGGTCTCCGATCCTTAGTTCTGGGGAGCATTTGTCCAATTTTCGTTGGTGGTTTGAAAATTGTCCTGATGTATCGGGAATGGGTACATTCGTGAACAGGGACTCCACATCAAAGCTAACCAAAGATCTCCTGGACTAGTTTAAATGTGAGACAGTTTGTTCATGAAGTCTTGGGA